AGTAGTCACTAGCTACTAACAAATAGCTTATCTATTTCACGTAGCCCAATATTATGTGAGAGGAGTATGTGGGTCCAATAGTGTAAAATAGTTATTTTTCTTATCTCTCATATCCATGTCAGCTGACTATATAGCTAGTAATAGCTATTACTATTGGAGATGCCCTAAGAAATAACCATAATACAAATTAGGGATCCTGCCAATCCTGTTTCTTTTTTTTTTTTAAAGAAAAAAAACTATATGCGTAATATATCTCACTCACATCTCTACGCAAGCTGTTGCGCACGTTTTTTTCTTGAGCACCATAAACTCCGTCAACATTAAAGTTTTCGGCCTAAAAATTTGCAAAATCTTTCTGCAAAAAGAAGGCTGATGGCCATTTGCTTTCCCTCTCATCTACGATTATCTTTTCCTCGGTGCACACACAGTCTTTCTCCTATATAGATCTGATATCGCTTTCCTACACTGATCTGGACTTTGTCCCAGTTACAGTCCAGAGGATCTAGTGGAGAGAGAGAGAGAGAGAGAGAGAGAGAGAGGTTTTACTGTTGATGATCTCTGTACATGAAGATTCTTGATCTGCGCGTATGTAAAAATGTCATCTTCACAGCAAAATGAAGTTGCAGATTTGGAATCAGCTAAGAGTATCAATGGTGGTAGGGATGGTGGTGGTGTAGTAGAGGAGATAGCTGGGGCATTGGAAAGTAATTGTAATAATAACAACAAAGACAGAGATGAGAAAAGGGAGTCTAGTGTTTCCGAGTGTTCAGTGGATTTGGAAACTGGAGCACTCCAAACTAAACAGCGTCTGGCAAACATTAGGGATTGTAGGATTTGCTATCTGAGTTTGGAGACTACCAATCAAGACTGTGGAGGTCCAATTGAACTGGGTTGTTCTTGTAAGGATGATCTGGGTGCTGCACACAAACAATGTGCAGAGGATTGGTTCAAGATTAAGGGTAACAAGTAGGTTCTTTTTCTGTTCATTTCTTTTTTTCCCCAGTAATTGAAAATGTGGTAACTATGATTATGTTTTCAACCATCGGAGTGACGTGATCTTTGATTCACTTCTTTAGGATGCAATCATTGTTTTATTTAACTAGATACTTTTGATTTCGAAAGTTCCTTTGTTTGGATGGAGTCCATCCCATGTTCTTCTCCTACTGTAAGGGGTTTTATGCCCCAAACTTTTGATTAAATGTCAATAAGAGTTTGGTTAAAAAAAATAAAAATAAAACAAAAGACATGCATATTTTTTCAACAAATATGCATAATTTTAAACCGAAATGCCATACTCCAATAAGCAATACAAATAAAAGTAAGCCCAGGATAAGTATGCATTTCTATTAAAAAAGTACGATGGATTTGTGTCTCATGCTTGCCAGTTCTTGTCTGAGGCGGTATAACCGATAGGCGAGTTGATCCATCGTACCTTTGTATAAAAAATGCATACTTACTATGATATGTCATATGTTTATTTATGTTTATGACATTTCTGTTTGCAAGTATGCATATCTGCTGTAAAAATATAATTGCCTTAGGCTTGCTGTAACAGCTTGTTTTTACTTTATAATTATTATGATGGGTAAATTGCACCAAACCCCCCTGTGTTTAATGAAATATGCACGTTTCTCCACTGTGTTTTAAAAACTGCACCAGACCCCCTTATGTTTAAGCAACCAATGCAAACGCTCCCTTTTTTTAACTGCTTGTTAACGGCGTTAATTTTTTTACAAAAACTCCGTTATGCCCTTCGAATATTATATATATATTTACGATAAACTGAATTTCTCGCGATATATTGAATATATCGCGAGAAATTGAATTAAAAAAAAAAACGTTGTCTCGAGGGTTCGAACCTCAAACCATGTTCAAGCAAGGCAATGCAAACAACCATTGCACCACTCAAGCTTGAGTGTTAGATGTAGTAAAGGTTAATATATATTGGCATTACACATGAATAAATGAAATTTAATTAAGAAGATAATGTAAATAATAAATTAAATTATTAAAATATAAAGATATGATAAATTAAAATATACTGAATCAAATTATATAAAATTAAGTGAACCAAAAATAAAAAATAACTTATTATATTAAACAAAAACAACAATAATTAAAATAAATTATAAATAAATTTAAAAATTAAAGTTAAAATAAATATATTTATTGTATTTATATTTAGATTATTTTTATATTTTATTATTTATTTAATTTATATTATTCCATATAATTTTATTGCACTGTTCATTATATATTTTCTTAGTTAACAAACTTTATTTGTTTTGTTTCTTAAGATAATGTAATAAAATTAAGATAAATTCTACTAATAAAATTAGACATTAAATTATTTATTAGAAACTAAAATATTTTACTAAAAAATTATAATTTATTTCAATTGTTCTCATTGATATTGTATGTAAGAGTAAATCATATTACACGTATTTGATAAATTATGTTTTTTTTATTTTATTATATTAATTTAAGATTTCTATTTACTTTAATTTATTATAATATAATACCTCATTTGATTTATTATTTTATTTCACTTTACAATTTTTATACATTATTATCTGTAATATTTTTATTTTTATTGTATTTTTTTTTTTTAATTTTATTATCATTATTTTTCATTTCAAAATTTATTTAATTAAATTATTTTAGTAATTAAAAATTAATAAT